TATAACGGAAGTGAAAAGGACGCAAAATAAGTGAAATGGCGAAGGTCAGAGTTCTTGAGTTACAGGAGTGTCGCTACATTTGCCTATATATGGGCTTCGCGTCGCCAAAGGGTTAAAATTTAAAATCACCGATCGGCAACGGTTTCACTTGTCTATATCTATTCCACCTCTGATACTGATTGATGAAGAGTTTACTATCATTTTCTTTTTATCGATCATTCTTGTGAATTTTCTTTCCAATATCAACCGCTTTTTCTTATCTAATTTTCTTTGAACGTCACTTCGCTTTCTTTATATCTTTGTTTTGTGCATATCTGATTGATTTTTGATTTTGCAACTTGAACATTCTGTTGTTCCCAAGAACAGTTCGTGATCATTCATGATATTAAGTTTGTTCTAAATTGTAAATGTAAAGCCGAATCACACATTCAAATAAAGACCTAAGCAACAAAGCTTTTTTACATCTATAAGATGTACGTTTGGTATGTATATGTTGTAGCGAAAACTGAAATTCGGCGAAATTCTAAATTTCGCTAGGCAAAACTGGAATCCGAGTTTTCCCTAGCGAAAACTGAGATGCATGTGCGTGCACATGCTCGATTCCAGTTTTCTCCAGTGAAAATCGAGATTTCACTAGGTAAAAGTGAAATCCGAGTTTTCCTGGTAAAATTTAGAATTTGACTAGATGAAACTGGAATCCAAGTTTTTCCTGGAGAAAACTGAGATGCATGCATATGCCGATTCCACTTATTCGTAGTGAAATCTGAAATTTGACCAGGTAAGAGTGGAATTAATGTAACAAGAATAGATTTCAAGGTATAGAAACAAAATAAATATTTTACAAAGATGAATGAACAATCACATTGTCTAAAGGTTATTTTTTGCACTTCTTTTTCTTCTCATTCGCCCCCTCCCCCCTCCAATATCGTACTCTTCGTCAGTTAACGAGTTGTTATCTTTCTCTTGTTTTTACAGCGATTCAATAGAGATAATATTGCTGTTACATAAAGTAGTGGACGAGATAAAAGTGAAAAATAATATAACATCTGCCATGCGCATTTTTCACATCATTTTAACTTGTTCTGTACACTAGACAAGACGCACGTAATATCATACTTTTTTCCTACAATATGATTTTTGATTATGGCTGATAACAACCCAAGTGCTCCTAATTTAATCATTATAACAACAGTCAGCACAATAACAGGTGCGGACAATATTAGGGAAGCTGACTTTTTCAAAGAAACCGATAACCACATTTCACCATTCAAAGAACAATATCGTACAAAAGCTGTTATTAACAAGAGGATCTACGGTGATATCATGGTAGCGCACATGCATCTCAGTTTTCGCTAGGGAAAACTCGGATTCCAGTTTTGCCTAGCGAAATTTAGAATTTCGCCGAATTTCAGTTTTCGCTACAACATATATGTTCTCGCTTTGTTCCAGTGTTGGTAATGAGAAATCCAGTGAATTATATACAGCCATTTCAAACAGTTCTGATATTCTTATTCAATTTACATCATCCGAACAAGCATCACTATTTTTAAGTCAAATAACAAGTGATAAAAGAACAGAAAAATCTGAGTTTTTATTTTTGTTTCTCTAACAATCTTCAGAAACAATGATCACTCAACTAACAACAACACATCAATCATTTAAAAATGCCAGTGATCTTCATGATTCATTGCATAGTATGGGCTTCTTTCAAGATAAATATCGCGATCAGTACAAAATATATTACATGATTCGCGAGTTAATTATGACTTGTATTGTGGTTTGGAACAACAACTAAGTTAATTGACGATCATTGTTATGATATTAAACAAAAGTTAATTAAAGATTATCAAGTTTATTGGTAAAGAAGAGAAACAAACTCTTTCACAAGAAAATGGTGTCCTCTCGATTCGTTCCTCATGTATTTTTATTCTCAATTCGTCCCTTCTCATTTCGTCCTTTCAAATGCTTGCATAGGCTAAATTAATCGGCTTTTAAATTTATTTAATAAACTTTGTAAAAAAGAACAGACTAATAATTAACAATATATAAACAACTACAATTTAGAGTCGTTTAGGATGCTTAAGAAACTAACCAAGAAATAATTAAATATTTTTTTTGATATTTATCCTAACTTTCATCAAATCGACTAAAAATTAGAAAAAAATTTTTTTTAGATATGGACCTAGCATACAGTATTTCCTCTCTATGAGCATTCAGGCGGACATCTAGCCAAAAAATAGAAGTTAACATTGTCAGTTTTTATTGGTGAATCATTAATCCGAATGTCTAGGCTATCTTTTTCAAGAATAATAATTTTTTGCCTCTTGTGGAAAAATGGGATAACTCATTTTAAAAAATTCAATCTAAAATCGGCATAAACAGCTATGTATAATTTTTTTACACAATTTAAATAAATATTCCAGCTGATAATATATGAATTTAAACCTAAATCAGCTTTAAGTAAGCATGTATCGAAAACTTGTTACCCTATTAATTTTGACAAAGTCAAAATATTAGCTACGGCTGGCCTTATCGATTGCTTATAAGAGAATCTTTAGCTATTCATACGAACACACTGCAATTCAATGAAACGGACAGATCAGTACTTTTATATGTATTCCCAGAGCATTTCTCATCTACTAGTTTTCGCTCTTGCGTGGAAAAGAAAAAGAGAAAGTAAATGTGTTTCAGTTTGTTGTATAAAAAGACTTGCTAACTGTTCTAAAAGGCAAAATACATGAAATACTCTGCCTGTTACAGAAAATCTTCCTTGTTCAGCTTTTCCATATTACTTAACATAACGCCCGTCAATACAAACATTTTTCAATTTCCGTAGTTGCCTTGTGAGTAACTCGAAGTTGTCCAAAGACGAATAGTTCTGAGAATTGTTAAACGTCAAATAACGTAAATTTGGTAAGAATGTTAATAGATTTTCTAATTCATCAAATGTGATACAATAATTTGTAGATAAAGTCAAATTTAACAAGTTGAGATGTTGTGACATTGTAACAGTACTAATCCCGGTTAGAGACGACATCGATGGATTCAACTATACTGTTAAAGATTTAAGCTGCGGATAACGTTGAAGTACGACATAAAACGTTGTTTTTGAACAATAATCAATTTTTAGTGACTTCAAATTACCAGAACTCCTTGTACTTAAAGTACACGGTCATGATAGTGGGAGCACAATAGAATCCATATGACAGATTTTCAATGATGGAAATTGATTTTTTAAAACCATTTCACATAGATCCCTATATTGAGTTCCATATAAATTAGAGTTTACTTCTGAATATTGACCAAACTTTTGATCATACTGAAACAGATTAATTGATGGCGGATTTCTTCAAATTCGTCAAATAATGGGTCGGTTATTCGACAGTTATATAAAGAAACAGATCGTAAATTTGTAAATCTGTTCAAGGTGACCGGACGATGACGAAACTGAGCATCACATCGTAGATAATCAATCTGATGATTGACTTTTGGGACAAACTGACATACGTACCTGTATTCGTCAAATGTACAGTCCAATAAATCAATCCCGATACGAATTTGTTAATAGTAGAGTTTAAGCGACGGTTCAATCCAAAGAAGGTTCGATGAAGATTCACATCTCTAACATACTGAAATATCTGAAGAAATATCTCACCTGGAAATAAATGTTCTATTCACATGTCTTGTGGAAAAAACGTTTTACTTTTACTTTTCTCTTATAAAAAAAAGCCCCCGTCGTGATATTATTATAGTCACAGTGGTATTTGGTTACCGATTCTATATTTGAGGAAGAAAGAAAAACCAAGTTTCTTTTACGTTTACTCTCCTTTCTTTCCCTAAGCACATTAATAAGATTAGGTGAAAGCGTGTGTGTCATCTTGGAGCTCATGGACTTGGCTACAAACTGGCAAGTTTAGAAGTTCAAGATCAGTGGGACCAGTCCTAGAAAATGGACCAGAAGTAAACCGACTAGGGAAAAATGCAACGTACTTCCAGTTTTTACTATTTCTTACACTAGTAAAGAAGCAAGTACATGTTGTGTCATATACCATTTTAAAGCTCGTCAAATTTTCCTATAAAGTAAGCTATGTATGATATCTTGATCAGTAGGTTCAATCTCTGTGGTTTAAGGTTGGTATCAGTTTTGCAGGGAGTTCTAAGACTGATATTAGGTGACCTCGGGTAACCTCTAAAGTAAATGGAAACATAGATTATCCACCATACTAAATATTCTGGCAGTGTTTTTTTCCAGAAAAAGGTGGGTAAATCTAGCGAAACTGAGTGTACCTCCAAAATGATAAATAATAGAAAAATCTGTGTTTTCTTATTTGGGAGAAAAAGAGGCTATACAAGTGAAGACTGTCTACAGGGTACCACATAACCTTTGCCTCCCTCTCTCTATAACCTAAAGAACGCATAACATCAGAAAGTTTTTATACCAGATTAAAGCTCATCAAAAGCTGCATCTACCAGTGCAATTGGAGTAAATGTTGCCTAAGCGTTTGATAAAACATCCTGGACAACATATTAAAAATGTCATGGATTACATAATACCCAGTCCACCAAAAAGTTATTTAATCTCGTTTTCGACGAATAAATCACTTGTTGATAGATTGCGTTTTCTTTGGCTGGAAGTGGTATTATCCGTGTATTCTGTTAGACCTGGGGGCTACCTACTTGACGTGATTCTCTTTGGTTTTATCATACTCGACTGTAACGAAGTATGTGCTGGAGTTGGATAACGTGTTTCTTCCAAAGCAGCAAACATTCACTACTCATGAGTAACAATTGAGAGAAGAAACAGAGAGAAGAAAATTATGTGGTATGTGCACGAGAAGATAAGAGGACAATGCATAAATATCGGCACTATTTCAAACTTCGTTATCTCTTTGCTGTGTGTCTGTTGCTCGTGGAACCAACTGTTTTGGTCACATCCGAAATTGAATCGAATATTCATTAAACTGAGGCAAGCCTGTAACACATCAATTCTGTGAATAAAAATGGCCGGTGTTATCAACGACTCCGAGGAACAACGATTTTTGGACAGGATTCGTTGTATCACATATCGTGACATACGGGATGAAATGATTGCAAGAACAGGAGACTCATTTATCACTCGTCAATGGATTTCAGAAAAACTGCATCGGGACGAAAGTTGGGTACGACGAACTTGGAATAAAACTACTGAAGAATGTTACACACAATTTGGAAGTGGTCGACCGAAGATACTCTCCGAGGAGAGCAAAGACATTATCGCTTCTGCAAGTGGTATTACGGGCAGTAGCTCTCGAAACGTTGCAAGAGAGATTTTAGAGAAAACAGGACAGCGCGTGAGTGGTGAAACTGTCCGTCGCGAACGTCATCGGCAGGGATTAAAGCCTTTCCATGTGATTGCAATACTATTGAAGACAAATACCCATATTGAAGATCGGAAATGGCTTGCACATTTTGTTGCCAATTGGACTGAAGAAGATTTTCTTCATATGGCACCGTCGGATGAGTTTTATGTTTATGTGATCAGAAAACCGAATCACCAAAATGATAGAGTTTGGGCAAAAATATCGAAGACATTAGCAACGAGGAAAGATATCGTGAAATGGTTCAGAACGCGGCATGTGTCGGAATCTTCGTGATGTTCACTGCAAAGAAACTCATGTGGGTATTGAAGGAGCAAGGGCAGTCTTGGGATGGAGTCTATTTTTGTGAAATTATTCTTCAAGAACATGTAATTCCCTTTCTTCGAGATCCAAACAATGTCCTCGATACAAATGAAGTCATATTCCTTCACGACAAGGCACCCTGTATGAAAGCCAATGCAACGCAACATCTTTTGAAGGAATCAAGTTCTGGGGTAATTCGATATGGCCCGATAACAGTCCCGATATGAACCCTGCACAGAACATCGGTGCCATTATCAACGACAAAGTTGAAGAACTGATGGCAACTGAAGATCGTCAAAACAGATACAATTACGATATTCTCAAAACTAACATTGGGAATGCACTTAGGAATGTTGAAGATGACACAAATCCTTTTACTGACTTGCTGCGCTCGATGAGAAAAAGATTTGATGCTCTTAAAGCTGCTAGAGGAGGTCATACAAAGTTCTGAAACTTTCTCAGAATCATGTACTCATGAAAAGTTTATGTTTCTAATAAACTAAAAACTCTAGTATCTATAATTTAAATCAATGAATGGTATGATGACACTTTGATCGACTTAGTATTGTGTAATCCATGATATTTTTAATATGTTGTGCCAAGATGTTTTATCAGTCCCTTAGGCAACATTTACTCCAATTGCACTGGTAGATGCAGCTTTTGATGAGCTTTAATCTGGTATAAAAACTTTCTGATGTTATGCGTTCTTTAGGTTATAGAGAGAGGGAGGCAAAGGTTATGTGGTACCCTGTACTATATTATATACGCAGGATTATTCTAAGCGTCCTACTGCTATCACAGCACTACGATTAATTATTATGTCACACACATTCTGTAGAATTTTAGGAGCTATCCAATGATATATTGACTTTGTGACCTACGTGAAAGAAACATGAGAAAAACACATTTTACATAACCTATAGCTGTTCTTTGAGGGACGAGCTTTTGACGAAGAATTACACAATTACATTTTAGTTACCAAAAGTACGCGAAATTATTAAAAACCAACTGATAATACTGTTCTACTATTTACAGAATCATTTTTAGACAAAAAATGAAGTGGGCCGATTATCAACCTTATGCGGCCCACTTCTTACAGAAGCCTTTTCATTTTTATCAAAGTGTCATAAGTTCGTTTGTGAAACGTCGTAGTTTAAATATAAGCTTATAATAAAATGAAACAAAATAATTTAATCATACTTACTCTATGTCTAAATCTCATTATTCTTCTAACCAATTCAGTTACTAATTATAATTGAAATTATTTTGTCTTCATAATGAAGTTTTGTTTAAATTAATAACACTTATCTAGACGTTTCGATTGCATGTACAATCTTGTTGTATGGTTTCTATAGTCGCCTTGTTGACATTCTTAGTTTCATTTTCTGAAAAAAACGGTTTCTTGGTTTAACCAACTGTTTTACGGTAGATTTTCATTACAGGCTTATTTGTTTGAATCGGTTATAACCTAAATTTGCTATGGTGTACACTGTTTCTAGCCTTTTTCGTCTACTCCAGTTCTTTTCTTTATCAAAAATCATACTATTATCGAATCAATAAAGCATGTAGTACCATTTTCGGGATGCTGCGCCAATTCTAAACCATCCACATATCTTTCTGTTTAACTTTTCTACTATGTTCTTCTATTCGCCGTTTAAACGTGCATGTCTCACCTACATACATATCTGCATACATACAAGATATACCGTACACTGCATATCCTACTCGTTTCTCTAGTGAATTTTTCTCTTCTACTCTATTTTGTGTAATTCTTCTGGCTTAATTTAACATTGAACCAATATTACGGTTGAGTGTTGTATATATTCTAATATTAAATTTAGCTAATTGTACTCACAACCTGAACGTGCGATGTTCAACTACAAGCAAAAAAACATGATAGATAAAAAAATACTGATCTGACTCTACCTGTTTGATAATACTATATACAATTCTACCTTTTTGTATAATAATTTTTTACGTATAATTTCAAATATATGTAGATTATAACTTACTAACGTATAAATCGAATGTTTTGAGACAAAATGTTTGACTGTCTTTCTTCAACTGGAAAATGTTTGAAAAGAATACAAACTACGTGTGCTAGAATGAGAATTCTTTACATTCTTTTCGAATCTATGTTTGAAAATTTTCGGCCACTTTTTCATGAAGAGGAACGGGCATAATACCGAAAGGCTCCAAAAATTTCTTTGAATAGCAGAAATTATTGACGGTTTCTTTCATTTGGTATCTCTGACTTAATTTTTAATCAAACGAATTTTGTTCTATGCTATTTTGTAGAACAGACTTTCTCTACAACATACATTAATTAAAATTTTATAACTCAGAAGAAAATCTGAATATAATATGTTAATAAAACCATCATTTTTCAAAAACTCGAATTTGTGCATGAAAAGTAGAGTTCAGTAAAATGGTTATTATCTCATATTTTTACATGCTTCAACACAATTTTGTAGAAAAATGTTTGCTCTCTATATGTAGTTGAAATATTTGTAAAAGTATTCCATGAGCGTCGATTTACCATCATAGAAATCTCGTTTTAGCCGTTCGAAGAAATTTTTCAAGTAATTCTACTTCATGAAAAAGCGATAGAAAATTTTCAAACATAGATTCGAAAAGAATGTAGAATTCTTATTCTAACACATTAACTTGTATTCTTTTCATACATTTTTCGGTTGACAAAAGACACTCAAACATTTTATCTTAAAACTTTCGATCCATCCATTATTCTAGAAGATTTGGTAAACAGTAAATTTTGGTCTGACTGTTCGCCATATGGCTGATACCCGTCAATTGGTTGTGCCCACTCAATTTATTCAAAATCGAATACTAATATCAAAACATTGATTTTACTTTATTCCTCTTGATTGTTAGTACAAAAAAAAAATCAGCACTATCCTCTCATTTCACTAAATATCTGATTGTTTATCAGAAAAATATAAAAACATAATGGAAGGAAAAAAACCATTCGAAAATATGAAAAGCAAATAATATTGCTACTTTATGAACTGTACAAAACATATCTAAAACAAATTTTTACTCTAACATAAAGACAAGATAAGTATGAGTTTAAACAATTTATACATTCTATTGTTTAACCATTTTTGAAAAGTTTTAGATCGAACACGAAAAATAATGTTAGCACAATTGAAAATATGGAGAAAGAATGAAAAAAGCATAGAAACAATTATATTTTTAAAGAAAACTTTGTTTACATAAGAAAACTGGATAATTGATGAATAAACGTTGAATAACCATAATCTCATCACCGGCGCTCTCTTATATTAACTAACTCTTCTCACAATCTAGTTGTCGTTTGTTCGCTTGTATCGCTATTCGCACTAGGGAAAGAAGTCCTTATTTCGACATCGGTTGATCGATGACTCCCTTCTCCATCATCTGATAACGCTGATTCTTGTTGTTCATTAACACCGAACAAATTTTTTACATTCGCTTTATATGTATTATCTTCAGGTCTCGTTGTTGTTGCATATGAGAAATGATCGTTAGTCGTATAAGAACCAAACGCTGATACTGTTAATGGTTGCTCGGTTAAACGAACTGGAACACCTGACGCATCCATACTATTTCGCCAAGGAAACGTCGATTCAGCTGCTGTTGAACCAGTTTCTTCTATTTGCAGAAAAAAAAGAAAGAATTAAAATTTCTTTTCTAATACAGCTATTTAATATCATATTTGCCTTCATTTTTACCTTGAACTGATGATGGTGTCATCTTTTTTGTTCCTAAAATAATACACATCAAGTTATTTCATCATTTGAAATTCAATTATTTCGTTATTACAATGCAACAATTAATTCTAAAATATTTAATTATATCTGAACTGCGTTTATCTACCTTTTACTCTTTAACTATCCATCTAAAAGGGTTTTACAAACCAGTCAAAGCAATAATAAACTTTTATTTAAACAATTTAATACGTACTGTTATTCTGTACTGATTGCTGTTGTTTTTGTTTGTGTGGTACAGATAATTGAGGAGAAGATGACAAACTTCTTGTTTGGGTAGGATATGGCTTATCTTGAGAAGACGCATTTGACCGTTGATGATGTGAAGTTGCTGGTGATGATGTTGGAGAAGGTGTTATGGAACTTCTTTTTTGATTATCATTGTTATTCACTGACTGGTGTGTAATTATTTTCCCTGATTTATCTGTTTTATTACGTTTAGATTCTTTTGTTGTTTCTACTTTGGGTGGCATATAAAAATTACTACGATGATGTAACTGATGATCAAAACGATCACTATTAGTTATTGTAGATATATTATGAGTTTCATCTTGATTACGTAAATGAATTGGAGCCTAAAATACAGATAGGCATTAAACAGCTAAACTTAAAATATATCGATGTATGACTCACTCTAGGACGTGCTATAAACATGTTATTGTCGAGAAAGTGATGCAGTTTAGCATCGTCTAATTTTTGTTCCGATTGTTGAGCATCAAAAAACATGAGATCAGGAACAGTTTGTTCATGTTGTAGACTAAAATAAAATGAAATGTTTGACAGTTATATTGCTGTCTTCATGGCGATGTTAATGAAATAGTTCAGAAAAAGAATAGATTCAGTGTTGAACATTGAATTTGTGTATCAAAATGAAATGAAGTTTCATACACATATTCTACGTAGAACAAATGAATTTAATCTTTTTTAAAGAGATGTTTGGCTCTGAATTTAGAACTATAAAATGTATCTTGTCCTACCGAGAATTCAACTACTATTTCTATTTATTATGATTGAAAAACTGAATTTTTTAGCGCTAGATCGATCGAGCTGAAATTTTAGACAATGAATAATGACTGTTAGTTAAACATTTTCTGAAAGTTTCATGTTTGAAGTCTGTATGGTTGCAAAGATAATTTTTTATAGGTGGCGCGAAGTGAGTAGCGTTTATTCTCGTTGAACTTAGTACTTTTTCTTATTTTATCGCATAGTCTATTGCCGTGCGTATATAACAACAATAAAAAGCGGTAACACACAAAGACGGGAAAACTGAAAGCGGTACATTTGATCTCTGTAGTTTAACTATATGTTGATTTTCTTTGCTTATATATATGGATCTAATAAGAAAAGGTCTTTCCTTTGAAACAATTGCATCTACCCTGAAATTGTCATTTAACGTGATTTCTGTTATATAAGAAAGCAACATAAGCGGACTATAGATACTCAAAACAGCTAGAAAGCTCGACCATGCTCTAAAACAGTTTTAAATCATGAAGAATCAGGATAGACGCTGTCTTTCCTTTGAAACAATTGCTTGAGTTAAACAGCGCTACGTTCAACGAGAATAAATGCTGCTCGCTTAGGGCCACCTATAAAAAATTACCTTTGCACCCATGCAGACTTCAAAAATGAAACTTTCAGAAAATGTTTAACTAATAGTCGTTATTCATTGCCTAAAATTTCAGCTCAATCCGTCTGGCGCTAAAAAATTCGATTTTTCAATCTCTCTCATAATGTTTTCAAACTTACTTAGCTGCAAGTAAATGTGCCATATTCGTATACGCATTTTCTGGCTTTAAAGCAGGCGCTGATTGTGACGCATGCATAGCAGGTACAAGTCCTTTGGATAAATCGTGTACTTTCATGGCAGATTGCGTGCTTATCTTTTTAAATGTTTGCAATAATTTAATATCCATTCTTTCTTGTGGAGTTTCACGTAATAGCCAACGTTTAAAATAATTTCGATCAAGATTTCGACATCTAAAATGTGTCGACAAATTTCATACAATTAGTATTTTTAGAAGTGCAAACTGAATTCGAGAAATAACTGATAATGTCAAAGAAGAACGCTCACGTACTTGTCTCGTAATGAATTACTTCCACTACTACCGCTAATTTCTTCCAAACAAGTCATCACATGATCCATCATCTACAGTTATAAACGACAAATATTTATTTTACTATTATTTTAAAACATGACAGACAAACTAGTGCACATACTCTGTTTGTAAGTTTAGCTGACATTGTTGGCTCTTCAGTTTGTTTTCGTCTTACATTTAATAATTTGACTAATGGACCAATTGTAATACCCTGTATGAAACAACATACCAGATTTTAATATATCCAAGCAATATTTACTATATTTCTCACCTGAATAAAAACAGTAAAAAAGACAACGGCTATTGTAGCAGTGACAAATTCTTTTTTCTGTGGTATTGTATTTTCATCTAAAATCAAGGCTAATGCAAATGCAATAGCTCCGCGTAATCCTCCATAACTCATAATTAACATATCAATACGAGTCAATTCTAATAAACGCCAAGTATTTGCAATATTAGCAAATATAGTTATGCCTGGAAAGAAACAAATTTTATCAAGTTAAATATAAATAAATAGTTAAATAGGTACCAATAACACGAAATACAACACATGCAACTATTGTTGTCAGAACAAATCCGGTATTCCATGAATGTTGATCGGACACTGTTGAAAGACCCATAAACATGAAAATGATTGTTTCCATTATACTCGATAACATTTTTAATACATATTCTGTCGTAGCATCAGATTTTTTTGATATATTAAATGATACGTATTGTTTCATCACCTAATAACACATGAAAAAAGACGTTTGTTGTTTCTTCTCAGATATATTTGTATTTCAAATCAAAATACTCTAATCAATATCTATCAGAGATGGGATCGGTTCGATCTCGAAGGGGTTGTAAAACTGAAAATTGGCGAAGTGATCGACACATAGTTTTCACCCTATCTCTTGTATCTTCACCGTTATTTTCAACATTGTATTTAAACATTTGTATCAAACATATAAACAAGTCCTTTATGATCGATATCAAACCAATGAATAACTTCTGTAGTCTTCTCGCAAAACACAGATTTATGTTGTGTTTACATCACAATTAGGTTACTGATAATCAAAAATAAATCTTCTATTCCAGCGTAAAACGATATTATTCGATGAGAAGCAGACTCTTGTACATCTGTAACATTATTTCATTCATTTCTGCTCTGAAAAAACATTTTCGATTTCGAAAAAAACAGGAACCGATTCCATCTCTATTATCTATGCTACTTTGTTAACCTAAATTATTATTGAAAATAGATTTTTATGGTGACGATAATTGTTTTTATGAGGAATCTGTATGGTCTGTTTTTTTTTTGTTTTGATTAAAACATCAGATAGGCTAGCCAGAGAACGGACTTACCATGCCACAGAAGGTAATCCTAAAAAGAAAAGACACTTAACTTAATTAAAGAAAGAAAACACTGAGTAATTTCGTCTACGTACGCTAATATTCCCGAAACAGAAACCATTTCTGATGTTAAATAGGATAAGTAAGCATAGACGAGAATAATCAATGGTTCTAATACAGGAGTATGTTCAGTAAATTTCGTTGTAAAACAAGCAATAACTCCAAATATAATTCCAATTAGAACACCTCCCAAAGCGACAACAAAAAATGATAAACAGCCAAGAACAATATCAAGTGGTATTAAGTTTTCTTGTCCAATGCGTGCGAATGCATCAAACATACGATATAATACCTAAAAAATGAAAATACATATTAACTATGAATAAAAATAGAATAAAATCAAAACTGATCACATACTACAGATACTGCATCATTGAGCAATGATTCACCAAAAACAACAATATATAACATATCGTTAACGTGAATTTCTGTAAACGTTGCCAGAACAGCCACAGGATCAACAGCCGATATAAGAGAAGCAAAAACAAGGCATGGTAACATACCAAACTTTGTTCCACCAAACAGTGGTGTAAATGAAAGTCCCCATAATGTTAAACCAATACAAATTGTGTTAAATAATGTATTAACAATAGCTAACAATAATATTGTACCTAAATTATCAAAAAATGGACGATTTGGCATAAAATATCCAGCTTCTAATATAATGGGTGGTAATAAAAATATAAAAAATGTAGTTGAATTTAATACATAAGCTTTTTGGTCAGCTAGATGAGTAAGGTATAATAATGCACCAACAATTAAGCCTAATACAATTAATAGACAACTTTCAGGAAATTTTTCCGTTAAACGATGTGATAAATGAAAACCTAAAATAGAAATAAAAATAAAAATATGAATTACTATAAATTAAGCGTGATGCTTCTAACTTAAACAAGATGTCTTGTTAACAGACGAAAACTCTTTTCATGTTTATATTTCTAATATTAATAAAATATATAAAGAAATCTATGAACAGAGTAGACAGATCAATAACTGACGTTTTATTTTTGAATAAAAAAAAATTAAATTATAATACTTACCAACTTTGGCTAATGATCCTAAGAGTATCCATAACGTAATAGCATAAACATCCGAAACATGATCAAAATTAAATTCGGCTACATGAAAACGTTGGGGTTTAGGTAGATGATGAACATATTCTTGATCTTTACAATAATACTTTTTAACAATAATTCCCAGTACTATAATTATTAATATCAGTTTTTTGTTAGAATACATAACCATCTTTGAATACAATCAAAGGATAACAAAATAAACTGATTATCAAAAATAATAGATTATAAATAACATACAATCACTGTTCAGTTATTTTAATTGTTTGTGTGAACACTATTTGAAGCTAATCTATGCAATTCACGTTCGATTAGCCTATAAATAACCTAAAAGGAAAACAAAGTAATGAAAAAATTAATTGTGAAAATGGATTTTACACAGTCTTCAATGTTAATATAATGTGTTTTGTTTGATAAAAAAACATGTAACATTTACTGTTATTGACTTATTTAATGGAAGTTGAAACTGACACAAATCTAAGAATTTTGGAATAAAGAATTGCTTTTTACTTCATGTATATAGCTTTGCTTCTTAAGATAAAACATTTTCAAGGTCGATAATATTTGTTTCTAATGGATCGATTATTTGCGTATATAAATAGTAAAACATTTTCTTATATTATCAGCATCGATGTCAAATTTTATTTTTCAATTACCGTTTTGTCCGGTCAACATCTGTCTATCTATATAAACATCACAGTATACTTGAAATATTTCAAATGACTTTTTAACTTCATCTTTTCTTTCTCATAAGAGAAGTGCCGAGACAGTGCTACATGCTTGTGGCAGGATGATGCAGTACTTATCGATGGTTGTACTCTTTTTAATACAAAAAATAAGTAAAAGTAACTATAATAAAAAACTAACCACTGCTCTACAAAAAAGATTCCAGTATGACACTTTTTTTTGACAGAAATATATCAATACTCATGAGCATGGATGCCAGTAAGTAATGACATAACAACGGCTGATTTTTCTTGTAGAGGAGACTCTTTCGAAGGAATTATATGAACAAATAACTAGTCAAATTATTATTTTATTTGAGAGAGAATAGTAGAAGACACAAGAACTTTTTTCGACAACCAAAACTGATGTTGATATGGAGAATTTTGCGGACGATTGGTTCCCATTTTAATTTAATCCCGCTCCTGTCTTTTTTTTTTGACGTAAAATACTACTATCAAGAAGTCAGGTCACAAGTTCTAATTATAAAGAGAAACAGCTGTATTGGTTAATATTTAATCTTTCATTTATTAGGATTTTATTATACGATTATGTAAGATTAACAACAATAATAAAATACGAGTCAATACGTGATTCTTTTCTTCTGACTAATCGTGTTTAGAATATAAAAGACTGGTAACTCATTTCCAATTATTAAAACTTTCTTCTTAAGTAGGTATAAGACTCAAAATTCTTTTACTTCATTGCAATTACTTTGAATAATGACGTGACATATATAAACTCTTTTTTCTCCGTATCTGATTGATATTACGTTAAAAAATTTTAATAGATTTGTTTGTCAAAAAAACAAGATTATAGTCAAGAACGTATCGACTGTTACGTATTCTCACATGGTTATGTTGTTCATCATGAATCTAGATCAAATGTTGTTCATCATGATCTTATTTTGTAGCTACATTTGGGGGATACAAAATAAGATCACTCCCAGTACTACACGACCTTTTTTCAAAAAGTTATGGATTATTGTAGTTTTTTCTTCAAAACCTAAAAAGACTCAATTTTTTAATTTCATAAACTTTTCTCTCGTTTTCTGTACATTCAAAAATTTTCTTACACATAGTCTGATAGAAGGAAATGTTTTCTTCATAATGAGACGTTTTATAGAATTTTCTAATGAGTTTTCGCAGAGATACAAGCATCGCTGTAAATGCTCTGAAAAAAGTGACCTATGTACAAAATGCGTTTTTTCTCAAAAACTATTTTTTTGCTATCAGACTTCATTGTGCCACATTACGACCCCCCCTTAAATTTCATCCAATCGAGTTCAAAATTTTATCAGAGGTAGTCAAGACACTATAGCAAAGGTAACTTTTTGGAATTTTATTTTAGGCTCTTCTTTACCGAAAAATATAGAGTTTCTAAAATTGAAAAACTTGGTTTTTGAGACGTTTTCAGTATTTTCTCTATAACTCGATCAGGAAAGATCTCAAAAAAAATTCCCAAAAATTTCCTCTGCGGAATGACCTTGAGTACCTCTGGTAAAATTTTTAACTCGATCGGATGAAATTTAAGGGACACCGTAATGTGGCACAATGAAAAACCGAGTTTTCTGACAAACTGGTAAATGGTAATAGTTGAAAACATGAAACAAAAACGAAAAAGTGCTCCATTGAGTTTCCAATCAGTTCTGAAAATACGAAGCCCTAGCGACTTTTTGTTTTTATTTCACAACATTTCTACGAAAAGCCCAAAAAGAGGGTAAACGTACTGTGCTCAAATCTTACCATCGTCTAGTCGTGTAATAAGCTTTGAACAAGTTAACTTATGTCTACGTGCCTCAGATCATCTTTTCTATACTATACGTCTCTGTTGTAGCATTAAAAAAAATATTGCTGTCAAGTGTTTTAATTTCTTGTCAATACCATACGGTGCAGTAAGGCAGAGTAATCTTCTTTCAGTCGATTGAATCCTGTACTATTGTGCTCTACTACTATCAATTTGGAAGAGGATAAGTTTCAAATAAAAGTAGTGCAAAATATCTATAGTATTTAGAGAAAATAAAATGATAATTAAATTATCGACGTAGTTACACATGAAAGTTCACGCAAATTTTTATATGATAGTAGTAGTAAAAAAACAAAAATAGATTATTATAGTTTATATAAAAGACGATTTATATTTTAAAAACATTCAAAATTTGAAAATGAATGAAAATGAACGATTTTTTTTCCACATAAAGAACTTTGTATTAGTAATTTATTCATACAAGTATAATTAACGAGATTTTATGTTTGAAAAATAAAACTATTGATCTTTGAGGACATCTACTACATACAAGTATGATATGTAGTTGATACATTCAAAATTGAATATAGAAATGAATAGAGTATGAAATATAATAAATTGTTCAATAAGTTCATATTGCTTACTTGATTTTATTTGTTTCTTTGCAAAACAACTAACAATTGTCAATGATTTACACATTTTCAGAAAAATGTTCGTTGCTGTTGTTGTTTTCTTTTTTTGTATAATGTAGATATAAAAAGCTTTTTTTTGATTTGAAAAAGATCATAAACTTATAAAAAATTTAAAAAAAAAAATAAAAAAAAACTTATTTTATAGCGATAAAGTCGCCAGGTAATTAAATTCACAATAGCTTTGTCTTTTACGATCTTCAGAAGTGGTGCTACATTATAAAAAAATAAATAGTCGAAATATACATTCAAGATAATAATATAACATTATCATACGAGTTCCGCTTTTTTTTTTCTTCTTCTTGTTGTTGATATTTTTCTTTTTTTAAAAACGAAAAAAAAATGAGAGAAAGAAACGAACACAGAACAACAATAGTATATAACCATAAGATCATTATCTTTTAATCTAGGATGAAGAGAATCAAAAGCAATCATGACTTATGTAAAAACAATGTGTATTTATCATATATGCTGTAAAGCTATGTTAAAAAGATCGATGACTTTAGAATATTTATAGATGATTTTTAAATAGTCTGGTATATTTATGCAATCATGTTGACTGATGTGACAATAATCAGATAGAAACTTTGAAAATAGTTTCAGTCAAAATGCCATTTAAAAATATGTATCATTTTTTTGGTTTAGATATTGAAAAAAGAATTGTACGTCAAGAATTGACTGAGTTTTACATAAAAACTTAATCAAATATGATAATTTCTTAATGAATATGACATTCTGATATTTTATATATTTTAAGAGTAATAAAATAGCTAAGAATATATATATATATAGTTTTTTTGTACAGTTAAATAATTTGTTTTTGCTGTCGATTTGATTTTTTTCGCTTATTTTTTTTAGACAAAAAAACAAAAACAAAATATGTCTGTGTTTTCCTTTTTTTTATCCTTTTAATAACTATTCCTGTTATCTGAGAGGAATGTTAGATAAAAGAAACAAAAGAAGAATGAATTGTTTAATTTATGTAAAATTCTATTTATGACTTTTGCCAATTTTTCATTAACATAATAATTATATGCCAAGGCTACATGCTATTTAAAATTAAAAGTTTAAACATTATTATCAATGATATTCATTTAATGGCATATATATATATATAAAACTGCCACCTTTAAAACAATACATGGCGGAAAAAAGAAGCGAGATTTTTCACTCTACCCTTGAAACAAATTCATTTTGCTACTTACTAAAATATAAAATAAGAAAAGTTTAACATTAATAAACAAACAAAAATAAAAAAGGATGTGCTCTTTTCTGTTTCTTCATTGATATTTAGTGTGTTACATCATTCGTTTAGACTAATCAATTTACATTTCTCTTCAATGTTCATTGTCCAGTACAGATTGTTCTTGTCTAAAGTCAGACATGTGTATTCTTTATCTTCTCTCTATTATTTCTTTTAAACATATTTTTGTCATTTTCTCATTTTGCATGTTTATACGACTGAATTATGAGTAACATATCAAAAGAGTAGAGAAAAGCGAATCACATACCTTGGCTCTTGTTAACAGAAGACATCGATAAGTGTTTGTATATGAAATATTTATCATTGCAAATTGATGTACACTAAATCGTACACATAATGACATATTTTCACTAAAAAATTGATGAAAAAAGACGAAACGTGATCCGTGTTCTTTATTAATTCAGTGAAAAATGTAGATATGTTCCAGTGACATTCTAACGTCAGACTCACCATAAATGATTTATGATGTATCTCTGGCTCTTTGTTTTTATCATAATTAAAAATAATTCTGGTGTGAAATACCACTTGGACTGCAATTTAAGTATCATGAATAAAATATGTAAAGCTTAAATAGAATAGTGGTAGAAAAAAAATCTCAAACAGATCGTGTGAAAATAAAATTTGATATGAAAATAAGTCAGTTTTTATATAAGGTAAACAAGTTCAAAGTAAAGAAAGAACAGATATGGGTTTGCTATTGTTTTTTTTCATTAGACAAAGTTCATCGATAAAATTGTGAATGGGCATTAAACTTGAAGGTTAATTTTACATATAAGTAGATTAATTTATTGACTTTTAACAAAAATAGTAGTGGTTAATAAATTTCAACAAAAATTGGTCGACTCGAACGTCTACGAGTTTCTAAAGTTCCTAATTTCATTTTTATCTGTTTTCTTTCTTTTTTCTATTCTAATTCATTATATGATATGGTTCTGTTAAAGCGCAAGTTTACTTTACGTTAGTGATAATGTTGTCTCATCCTAACACTCTCGTTATTTCGTTCTGTTACTAGACAATTAATTTTGTCACTTTGGATAGCAAAAAAATTAGCTTGTAGGTCGAGCGTCGTGAGATAATCATAGACAGTGGTTAAAATTTTCTTCACATTTTGCTCATACTTAAGATATCCCTAGCAGTATATTTTGGTTATAAAAAGGCTTATGATATAGTCTAGTATAGAGATTTGGTAGTAAAACTTTTTCGACTTGGTATTTCTTTAAATTTACTAAGATTAGTGTTAAGCCTCCATCCCT